TATGACAACAGAGACCACAACAACAGAAAGCACGACAACAGAAAGCACCACCACAACAAGTACCACATCTCCAGAAAGCACCACAATGACAGAAAGTACAACCACTGGCACCACCACTCCAGAAAGTACAACAAAGGAGACCACAACAACAGAAAGTACCACCCCCGGGGAAACAACTGAAACTACAACAATAGAGAGTACCACAACAACTAAGATAATAACAACAGAAGGCACCACCACAGAAAGTACTACCTCAGAGACCACAACAAGAGAAAGCACCACCACCGGTACCACGACTCCAGAAAGCACCACAGTGACAGAAAGTACAACCACTGGCACAACCACTCCAGAAAGTACCACTACAGAGACCACAATAACAGAAAGCACTAAAACAGAAAGCACCACCCCTGGTCCTACAATTTCAGAAAGTACAACAATGGAAACCACAAATACAGAAAGCACCACAACAGACACTACAACAACTGAAAGCACCATCACAGATACCACAACAGCAGAAAGCACAACAACCGAGACCACAACAACAAAAAGCACCACAACTGGTAACACAACTCCAGAGAGCGCCACAATGACAGAAAGTACAACCATTGGCACCACCACTTCAAAAAGTACAACAACAGAAAGCACTACAACAGAAAGTACCACCCCTGTTATTACAACTTCAGAAAGCGCAAGAACAGAAACCACAACTATAGAAAGCACCACCACAGGTACAAAAACACCAGAAAGCACAACAACAGGTACCACAACACCAGAAAGCACAACAACCGAGACCACAACAGACACTGCAACAACAGAAAGCACCACCACAGGTTCAACAACACCAGAAAGCACAACAACAGGTACCAGAACACCAGAAAGCACAACAACTGAGACCACAACAGACACTACAACAACAGAAAGCACCACCACAGGTACCACAACAGAGACCACAACAACAGAAAGTACCACCACTGGTATTACAACTTCAGAAATTACAACAATGGAAACCACGACTACAGAAAGCTCGACAACAGACACTACAACAACAGAAAGCACCACCACGGGTGCTACAACACCAGAAAGCACAACAACCAAGACCACAACAGAGATGACAACAACAGAAAGCACCACAACCGGTACCACAACTCCAGAAAGCCCCACAATGACAGAAAGTACCACCACTGGCACCACCACTTCAGAAAGTATGACAAGAGAGACAACAACAACAGAAAGCATTACAACAGAAAGCACCACCACAGGTACCACAACAGCAGAAAGCACCACTACAGGTACCACAACACCAGAAAGCACAACAATCGAGACCACAACACAGACCACAACAACAGAAAGCACCACAACGGGTACCACAACTCCAGAAAGAACCACAGTGACAGAGAGTATAACCACTGGCACAACCACTTCAGAACGTATGACAACAGAGACCACAACAACAGAGAGCACTAAAACAGAAAGTACCAACACTGGTATTTCAACTTCAGAAAATACAACAATGGAAACGACAATAGACACTACAACAACAGAAAGCACCACCACAGGTACCACAACAACAGAAAGCACCACAACCGGTACCACAACTCCAGAAAGCACCACAATGACAGAAAGTACAACCACTGGCACAACCACTTCAGAACGTATGACAACAGAGACCACAACAACAGAGAGCACTAAAACAGAAAGTACCACCACTGGTATTACAACTTCAGAAAGCACAACAACCGAGACCACAACAGACACTACAACATCAGAAAGCACCACCACAGGTACCATAACACCGGAAAGCACTTCCACAAGTACAACAGCACCAGAAAGCACAACGGCCGAGACCACAACAGAGGCCACAACAACAGAAAGCATCTCAGCCGGTACCACAACTCCAGAAAGCACCACAGTGACAGAAAGTACAACCACTGCCACAACCACTCCAGAAAGTGAGACAACAGAGACCACAAAAGCAAAAAGCATTACAACAGAAAGTACCACCACTGGTATTACAACTTCAGAAAGTACAACAATGGAAACCACAATAACAGAAAGCACTACAACAGAAAGTACTACCCCTGGTATCACAACTTCAGAAAGTACAACAATGGAAACCACAACTACAGAAAGCACCACCACAGGTACCACAACACCAGAAAGCACAACAACCCAAACCACAACAGAGGCCACAACAACAGAAAGCACCTCAGCCGGTACCACAACTCCAGAAAGCACCACAGTGACAGAAAGTACATCCACTGGCACAACCACTCCAGAAAGTGAGACAACAGAGACCACAACAACAAAAAGCATTACAACAGAAAGTACCACCACTGGTATTACAACTTCAGAAAGTACAACAATGGAAACCACAACAACAGAAAGCACCACAACTGAGACAACAACATAAATTCCCACAATAGGTTGATAGTTTTAATGTCTTTTAAAATCTTTTTCTGTATACCGTGGCTCTAGATAACATTCAAATAAGATCCATATCTAATAAATTGCCCTGAAGAAATAAACGCACCTGTTAGTTCATAGCGAGATTCTATTGAATAGCATTATACAAATAAAAATATATAAAAACAATGCACTCTGAAAGACAACAATTTTATTTAAATATATATTCATGAAAATGGTAACAATCACAGAGTGCTTTTTATACTATTGATTGTCTTTTAATAACCACCCTTACAATTAGTTAAATCAGCCCTCTGTAAAAATGTTTGAGGATTCTACTGCATGTTTATAAAAAAATACAGTTTAGGTCTTCAATTGATTACACTGATAATATATCTGTAGGAGAATAAAGAATATATCTACAGCATAAAATGGAAATGTGTAGGACAGTTAATAAAGTGTATCTTCTGCAAACTAATTCTCAGAGATGTTCCCATCTTGACCCTGAATTTCTCTCAGTAAACAGGATTTTCCCCCCAATTATTTTAAATGTACTGTTGTTGAGCCTCCACTTATGAAAAAAGGATTGTTTTCTTTGTAATAATCTCAGATTAATATTTAAGAAAAATATCAGGTTTGCAGGGGAAGAATAAATGAACATGTCAGGTCATCATGACATTCTAATAAATGGCATTCAGGTATATACAGTGGGTACGGAAAGTATTCAGACCCCCTTAAAAATTTCACTCTTTGTTATATTGCAGCCATTTGCTAAAATCATTTAAGTTAATTTTTTTTCCTCATACATGTAACGTTTATTATTATTTATTAGCTCTAAAAAGGGGAATATTTATGACGAATCATAAATGGTTATGATTCATAATAAATATTTAGATTATATCTTCGAATTAACTGTAGCAGAATCAATATTACAATTATTTGATCTGTCCGTCCACCGAGCAGACAATATAATCATTTATCAATTCAAGGAATATTTATTTTCTGCACTCTGAAAGGTAATTATTTCATTGAAAATAAATAAATAAATAAACATATTAATGGTAATGGTAAATGGTAACAATCACAGAGTGTTTTGTTTCAACTATTTATGTTATTTGAATAATTAATCTTATAATTTTTTTTAATCATCCTTCTGTAAACGTGTTAAAATGTTGCTGCATATTGAATAATAATAATAATAATACAAATTAAGTCTTCTGTACATTATACTGAGAACATTTCTATAGAAGAATCAATAATATATTCACAGCATTAAATGGAAGTGTTCAGGAGAGCTAATAAACAGAATCTTTTGCAAACTATTTTTTCCAGTAATATTCCTATCTTGACCCTATACCTAAAGTATGTTGTTTAAATGACTCAGTCCTTAATTAATATAGTTAACGGCTCTCTGAAGCAAGGAAGTTCCCTTTCATGGGAACTTCGAACTGTGTCCTCTAGGGGTCGCTATGGGGAATCCCTCGTCATGACCCGTGTCTGAAGCATACATTGAAAAAACACCAACAACACTTTGGCTGGCGAAAGCCATGACGTCACTACAGGCGCGACTATAGTATAAATAGGCGCTGAGAGAACACATCATCCTCTTCTTCGTCTTCACTGACTGTTTTGTTTGAAGCGTGCATTTCCGTGGTAATAGCGATCTCTATTCATTTGTTAAGGCAAGCACTAGCAAAACGTTTAGGAGATGTGTGCATCCGTGTCATCGCTATTTGACACCTGATGACACACACGATCTGTCCGTTGTTTGTTTGGGCGAAGAGCATGCACGCGATGTCCTCGAGGGGGCAATCTGTGTGCACTGCGAGCGTTTTTCAATGAAAAAGCTCCGTTCTCGTTTGTCTCTTTTTTAGAGTAAAGAGGGGCGGCCATCTGCTTCCCGCGGTTCAGGACCCACCGCTGCTGAGGCACGGAGGAGAATGAGCTTGTGGGGATCGCAGGTGGACCTGGCCGATGAGTTTAAAGAGGGGCTTTCCCTCTCACGCTCGTCGGCTGTGGACGAGAATGAGCCGCTGGAGGATGATGTTATTTCTTTAACATCTTCTGATCCAGGGGCCAGTTCTCTGCTGGGTTCAGCCCAGGAAAAGCAGGAAATGTCTGAGGAGGGTGAAGAAGCCGAGGCTGAGCCTTCCCAATCCTCCTGCCCTGCGTATGATGAGCTTATGGAAGTTATTGATTGCGCCACGGCGAGGCTTGACTTGCCATGGAAGCGGATTAAGGAAGTGACGTTGCGAGGTCGTCTCAATGAACGTTATCTTTCTGGCCATAACCCTCCAGCTCAGGTGAGCCTTCCTTTCCTTCTTGATCTCCATACTGAGATCAAGAAGGAATGGAAGAGGCCATTTTCCTCATGCATCCATTGGTTCCAGCATACCAGTTATGCCAACATCGAGGCGATGCGCGAAAACGGCTATGAGAGGATGCCCCCGGTAGAAGAGACGCTAGCCAGTTATCTCTCTATGGGTGAGACATCTTCTCTCAAAACTCCCTCCTTGCCATCCAAGCCCCTTCAGATTACATCTCGCTTGAATGGCAGGTCATACGCAGCAGCAGGTCAGGCTGTCGCTTCATTGCACACGATGGCGGTTATATATATATGTGTGTATTGAATGTGCTGGTGATTGTGTATAACCCTTCTACTAGCTTTCTTTGCAGTGTTTCCCGGGACCTCTGTGTTTCTGTCCTTTTTCTTGGGTCAGTCCTCGGTAAGCACCCCCTCTGCTGGATTCAGAAACCGGGTGCTCGACTTGCAGTGTTATTTCACTCGTCGATATATGTCCAGATGGTACAATAAGCCGGGTTTCGGCTTCATACTTCCTGGATCATGCGGCCAGGTCACAGGTTTCTGCAGGAGCCTTCTTGATCATCAGGCCCCCGGCACGGCACTGCAAAAATTTCTGGACGTCCGGGCTGGGTTTATGCTTTCAGGGTGCCCTGTCTGGTCTACCGTATCTAGGTCGCCCTGAGAGGCCTCCGGATCACCAGAATATCCCCTCTTGCTGAGGCATCGAGCGGGAAATGTTGGTGGCATTTGCGAGATCCTTCTTGTGTAATGCTGTCTCAGGCAGGCCCCTCACCTTTGAGGGTTTTATTTGAGCTTGCCTCTTCCGTTTGGCCCAGTACTTCCGGGTATCTGTGAGCAGATGCTTGGAAAACTCTAAATCCATACTATGGTAAGTGCACACGTTTGGCTTTGCGCACTCTCTAAAAATCCACATAAGTGGTAAGTGTGCACGTTACTCTTTGCGCACTTTCTAAAATCCACATAGCTGGTAAGTGTGCACGTTATGCTTTGCCCACTTTTCTGAAATCCTGTATGGTAAGGGTTACGCGTTATTGACCTCGTTCCCTTTCTCTGAGTTGGTTTAGACCCCGGTACCTTGGGCTCCACTCATCTAGTGTGTTTCTGTCGACACACTCTGGAAGCATCGCTCCCCTCACCATTGACAAGTGACAAGGGACAAGTGACGTGACATGTGGCCAAGTATGGTGACCCATACTAGGAATTAGTGCTCTGCATTTAACCCATTTGCCATCCAAGCCCCTTCAGATTACATCTCGCTTGAATGGCAGGTCATACGCAGCAGCAGGTCAGGCTGTCGCTTCATTGCACACGATGGCGGTTATATATATATGTGTGTATTGAATGTGCTGGTGATTGTGTATAACCCTTCTACTAGCTTTCTTTGCAGTGTTTCCCGGGACCTCTGTGTTTCTGTCCTTTTTCTTGGGTCAGTCCTCGGTAAGCACCCCCTCTGCTGGATTCAGAAACCGGGTGCTCGACTTGCAGTGTTTACTTCACTTGTCGATATGATGTCCAGTCGGTATGATAGCCTGGTTTTTATGCTTTCAGGGTGCCCTGTCTGGTCTACCGTATCTAGGTCGCCCTGAGAGGCCTCCGGATCACCAGAATATCCCCTCTTGCTGAGGCATCGAGCGGGAAATGTTGGTGGCATTTGCGAGATCCTTCTTGTGTAATGCTGTCTCAGGCAGGCCCCTCACCTTTGAGGGTTTTATTTGAGCTTGCCTCTTCCGTTTGGCCCAGTACTTCCGGGTATCTGTGAGCAGATGCTTGGAAAACTCTAAATCCATACTATGGTAAGTGCACACGTTTGGCTTTGCGCACTCTCTAAAAATCCACATAAGTGGTAAGTGTGCACGTTACTCTTTGCGCACTTTCTAAAATCCACATAGCTGGTAAGTGTGCACGTTATGCTTTGCCCACTTTTCTGAAATCCTGTATGGTAAGGGTTACGCGTTATTGACCTCGTTCCCTTTCTCTGAGTTGGTTTAGACCCCGGTACCTTGGGCTCCACTCATCTAGTGTGTTTCTGTCGACACACTCTGGAAGCATCGCTCCCCTCACCATTGACAAGTGACAAGGGACAAGTGACGTGACATGTGGCCAAGTATGGTGACCCATACTAGGAATTAGTGCTCTGCATTTAACCCATCCAAAGTGCACACACACAGCAGTGAACACACACACCGTGAACACACACCCAGAGCAGTGGGTAGCCATTTATGCTGCGGCGCCCGGGGAGCAGTTGGGGGTTCGGTGCTTTGCTCAAGGGCACCTCAGTCGTGGTATTGAAGGTGGGAGAGAACACAATCTCTGCAATCCCTGCCGGTACGAGACTCAAACCCGCAACCTTTGGGTTACAAGTCCGACTCTCGAACCATTAGGCCATGACTTCCCCTGAGGGTTATTGTGAGCATGGTGCTTGCTTTCGAGCATTTAAATTCTCTCTAAGGAGTTGGATTCTTCGCTCCATGGGCTGTCCTCGTGGTAGTGTTGAGCAGTGCTCCCCTTTTATCAAAGGGTTACCTGCAATGAGCACGCTATTCCTCTGAATACTGAGTTCTCCTCTCACACGAGAAGTTGAGTTCTCTGTTTTTCTAGAGCACCTGGAACCAGCAGCATCAGGCGATTTAGGCCCTTACTCTGCCTCCCTGATGCGCTGAGTGTTTGGCTAGCTTGCAGTATGCTTACCCTTCTGATTCTACAATCGCGCTGTAGGTCGAGCTCCCTCTCGTTGAGAGCTGGCTTTGTGCTCCCTCAGCTAAGATAAACTACTGCTAGCCGTTCCAGCATTGGAACATGCTGTAGGTCGAACCCCCTTCTCGACTGAGAACTGGGTGTGTTGCTCCCACAGCTAAGTAAATTATTGCTAGCTGTCCCAGCTTTGGACATGCTGCAGGTCGAGCCTCCTCTCGTTTGAGAACTGGGGGTGTTGCTCCCACAGCTAAATAATTTCTAGCTGTTCCACCATTGGAACATGCTGTAGGTCGAACTGGATGTTTGCTCAGCTACAGATTTACTGCTAGCCACTCCAGCATATTAAGCCTTAGATCGATTTGAGACTTCGCAAACATAACGTTTTTTGGATGCACCATTCCATCTATGGGCCGGTCTTTCAGAGTGCCACGAGAGCCCCTTAGAACGGTATTGTTTAAAATCCATGTTATGGTAAGTGTGCACGTGAATGCTTTGTACACTTTCTAAAATCCACACTGTGGTAAGTTCACACGCTAGTACTCTGCATTCTTTTCTAGAATCCTGTATGGTAAGAGCTACGCGCAGCAGCCTCGTGCTCTTTCTGAGTGGTTTAAAGCCCCGGTTCCGCCTTGGGCACCACTCCACCTATGTATCCTCTGGATACCTACTTTATCAGGGTGTGCTACTAGGGGTCTGTTGAGACAGTTCCTTCAGCATATACAGAGAATGTGCGGTAGCCCCTGTGTGACAGGCCAAGACTAGTATGATTCTAGGCTCTTGGTCGTATTCCCTTAAAGGAATCTATTCCTGATTCCAAGCCTTGAGCTCTACCCCGGGCCCAGGAATTCTGGCCCTAACAGGCAACCAATGTGCTGTTGGTGTTTTTTCAATGTATGCTTCAGACATGGGTCACGACGAGGCATTCCCCATAGCGACCCCTAGAAGTCGCAGTGTCTCGTTCCCTACTCAGGGAACCATGGTTACATAAGTAACCTGAGACGTTTCTCCAGTGCTTTAAATTTTACAGCCGACAATTATGGTAAAAAAAGAACCTCCATTGCTTTCTCTGTAATATTCTCAGACCTATTTCTAACATATACTTATTAAGTAACTAAACAAATTTAAGGTAGTAAATCATTTGAGATAAAAACCAATATGAGCAATGCATCAGTCTTAGTCCTCGTGGACCTAAATGCAGCATTTGAGACATGATCATTTAAGTTTACTTAATAGACTGGAAATTGGTCTCTCCAGTAATATTCTAAATCGGTTCAAGACATATATTGCAGTAAGATAATAATTTATTAATATAGGTGACTATGTATCAAAGAAATATTAAATACTGTATGATGTTTCTGAAGAATCAATTCTTTGGCTACTTTTATTTTCATTATACGTTATACTTCTGGTCAGTATAACTCAGAAACATGGGATGAATTAACATTTTTATACTGATGATATACAATTATACATTTCAGTTGATTTCAGAGACACTGTTGCATGAAGATAAAACTGAAACTCTTACTGAGGGCACTGAGCATGAATGAGGAAGGATAGAAGCTGGATTATGCACCTTTATTCTACAAACTAAGATAGAAGTAAAAAAAACTAGGTGTAATTATGGACTATGATTTAAGTTTTAAATCTCGCATTAATCAAGTGACAAAATTTTCATTTTATTGTTTTTGCTCATCACGATTACTGTAATGCTATATCACATATACACATATGCTATATGTAGCTAAGCTACAATTGATACAAAATGCAGCAGTCAACATACTAATTAAATGAAGAAGGAGATACCATATTAATAGTTTTAATACAATTATACTGGTTGCAAGAAAGGATTGATTTTTATGTTAATATGTTCAAAAATCATAGTTATTTTGGCAAACTATACAATAAATCCTAATCCTGCTTCTTTTAGCCACTATACCCCAACATTTGGAACTGTCAACCAATTTAAATTAGACAGGCTTCAATCTTTCAGATTTTCAAAACACAAGTCAAGAAAAGTATTTTAAAAATATTTTTTTAGTATAATGATATCAGTATCCATTGCTGTGTGAAGTTGCAGTGTCAATGTGGAACGTTTTTATTTTTGTTTGTAGTTTTTCTTTTTTTTTTTTACTTTTAAGCAATACGTGCTGCATTTTATGTATTAAAAATGCTAAACAAACGTTGGTTAATGTTTTACTATTATATCATGACAGAAAGCACCATAATGGAGACAACAACAGAAAGTACAGCCACTGGCACCACAACAACAGAAAGTACCACCACCGGAACAGCAACTTCAGAAAATACAACAGCAGACACTACAACAACAGGAAGCACCACAACTGAGATAACATCATCGGAAAGCACTACAATGACAGAAAGCACCCCCACCGGTACCACAACTTCATAAAGTACAACAACGGAGACCACAACATCAGAAAGCACCACAAAGGATGGAACAACAGAAATTAACACAAGCGGTTGATATTTTAATGTTTCCTTAAAATGTATTCTGTACATAGTGGCTCCAGAGAAAGTTAAAATAGGATCCATCTAATAAATTGCAGTGGAAGAATAAACGCACCTGTCAGGTCATCATGAGATTCTAATGAGTAACATTCAGGTATATACAAAAAGACAAAAACACTCTGAAAGACAATTATTTTATTTAAAAAAATTTATTAATTAAAATGGTAACAATCCCAGAGTGCTTTTTTATATTTTTTATTTTTATTTTAAATAATTAATCTTACAATTTGTTAAATCATCCTTCTGTAACCATGTGTGAAGATTTTGCTACATATTTAATAATAATAATACTATAAATGAAGTCTTCTGTACATTATACTGATAACATTTCTAAAATGATTAGTTCACTTAGAATGAAAATTCTGTCATAATTTACTCACCCTCCACTTGTTCCAAACCTGTACGAGTTTCTTTCTTCTGTTGAACACAAAAGAAGATATTTTGAAAAATGTTGGTATCCGAACATTTGATAGTCACCATTGATATATATATATATGTATATGTGTGTGTGTGTGTGTGTGTGTGCGTGCGTGTGTTGTTACCATCCTAGATTCGGCTTCACCAACCATCCATGAATGTTCATAATAATGTTACAAGATAAATATCACAATGTTTGTAAGGAACCAGTCAGATTCATACACAAATCTGGAGTCATGTAAAGCTGTTCAGTGCATCAGAATGAAAGTGAAAAAATTACATGATACACAAGTTAAAATAGATTTTATATATAAAGTTATTATTAAACTACTTTTTATATAGCCTATATTTAACATTTGAACGTTAACAAGTAGTTCAGTTATCTAGCGCAAACGTCTCAAATTTAGAAATCAACTGAAGTTGATTTATTCAACTTATTCAACTGTGTGATACATTTTCAAACACAAATGTGGAAGATATCTGTGAAAGATATCTGATAGTCACTTTACAAAAACATTTTAAACTGCAATTCACTCAATGTCTTGTCGATGTACATAACATTCAAATTTTTCATCACAAATGGATGCCTCACTACACACACACACACACACACACACACACAGATCAGATGGATTTCTCTTTAGTTTACTTATTAATCGATGTTAGTGCACAAATGTGAAAAGGGGCATCCCTTCATTTCTAATACAATAATTTATTAAATGCAAGTACTGTGAAGTCAGAGACATGTTAGCTGAGAGCTGTCAATCATTCCAGACTAGGATTCCCTGCGTCATTTCTGCTCCATTGATCTTTCTCCTCCAGTATTCATAGACTCATCAATAGATCATTACACTGAAATCCAACCAATTAAAACAGAAATCCCACCAATGCTTGCACATGATTGGTTGCATGAATAATGCTCATTGATAAATGCACAATTTAAGGGATAGAAATTACAGCCTTGAGTAGATAAAATATTATGGAAATAATGAAAAATGTGTTCAATATGTGTAATAAGTGTTTGTGTGAAAATGAAATAATGATTTAAGTTCTTATTATTTTATTAATCTTCTTATACATATATTCAAGACATCTAAGAGTTTGAGGTTTTAGTGTTTTACATTTATGGGTGATGAATTTTACCAGACACAAAGTTCATCCCAGCATCTGATTTCATGCATCCTCCACATTTTAATACTTTAATACATAATTCATAAGAGAGAGAGAGAGAGAGAGAGAGAGAGAGAGAGAGATGAAAAGGGTTTTATTAGATTTGAGACTATTCTGTGCTGGATCATCATTAAGCATGTTTCTTTAATGATGCTGTATTAGAAAAAAATTAGAAGGAAGAACATTTCTAAAGACAAAGAACATTAAGAAGGTCAGCATCATCTAAGCTCCGTCAATAAGTTCTTCTAGAGTTTGGAAAAGCAGCAAGTTTTGAGAAAAACATCAATAAGCAAAAATTACAGTAACAGTCCATCTTCTCTATCACTCTTTTTCTCTTTGTGAAAAGTTTCTATTAAACTTAGATTTAAAAAAAAAAAAGACTATAAAGTTTCCTCTGCAAACAGTTAATAAATTAAAAAGAGGAACATTTGTCAACCTGCATTATTCTGCTCAATTTAGATTTTGTTCTCTGTCAATCATATCTCAAAGTGAAGTATAACAGGTAACAATGCAGATTAATTTAAAGTACAATGGATGAATGTAGTTTGAACTTAGAAACTAATGTGAAAAGGCTACATTCTTAAAAGTCATAGTTTTACTCACTTTCTGACAGCTGACTTTCTGTACAAATATTTCACATTTCTATAATGTTGAAAAAAGACTGAAAATTATATATTATGTTACAAAGAAAGCTCCCACAATATTTATCTGTGCTTTAGGTGTGAAACTTACCAACTGAAGTTGATAGAAATGTAGCACTAAATGGCTTTTATGTTAAGATTTCGCACCTTGTACTGTATACTGAACTCACTTTGATTTGTGTAAAAAACAATGAGAGGTGCTTAGACATAGACTTAAATGTTACAAAAAAGTACTTGGACATTTTCACCACGTTATATAGGAAGAAAAGCATTGTATTGCAATGTGTTGATTATCTAGTGGAAAGCCTTTCCGTAATACCTATACTATTAAAAAAAATAAAGGTTGGCTTTGCAGCAATGCCAAAGAAGAACCATTGTTGGTTCCCAAAAGAAAATGTTAATGAAAAGTTCATAGAAATGACATGTTTGAACATTTTAAACGAAGTTCCTAGACGTAAGTTTGGGAGGAGCGAGCCCATCTAATCTTTCAATCAACAGCCAGAGTATATAAGCTGCTTACCTCTCTCCAGTCTCAGCTATTCCAGCATCCCTCCACCTCCCCAATCTCCACGTTCATCTTAGGTACCTTGCCCTTTGTAATCATATCCTACATTAAGTCAGAAATGTAGCACTAAATGGCTTTTATGTTAAGATTTCGCACCTTGTACTGTATACTGAACTCACTTTGATTTGTGTAAAAAACAATGAGAGGTGCTTAGACATAGACTTAAATGTTACAAAAACGTACTTGGACATTTTCACCACGTTATATAGGAAGAAAAGCATTGTATTGCAATGTGTTGATTATCTAGTGGAAAGCCTTTCCGTAATACCTATACTATTAAAAAATAAAGGTTGGCTTTGCAGCAATGCCAAAGAAGAACCATTGTTGGTTCCCAAAAGAAAATGTTAATGAAAAGTTCATAGAAATGACATGTTTGAACATTTTAAACGAAGTTCCTAGACGTAAGTTTGGGAGGAGCGAGCCCATCTAATCTTTCAATCAACAGCCAGAGTATATAAGCTGCTTACCTCTCTCCAGTCTCAGCTATTCCAGCATCCCTCCACCTCCCCAATCTCCACGTTCATCTTAGGTACCTTGCCCTTTGTAATCATATCCTACATTAAGTCTCTAACATCTTTTGTTGATCCTGGATCAACATTACTGTCCAAAAATATAGACTAAACCCAATCCCTACCCCTAAACCTAACCATACCCATAATTTATTCCTAAAATCAGTGTAAAATTATAGCTGATTAACAAGGGTGTAGAAGCACCTAACCCTGATTGCAAGCCTAAAACAGACATTTCCTGAAAAGTTATCCCTCAATTCTGATTGGTTAATTGGAATGTTGTTCCAGGATCAACAAGGATGTTGTACTTGGTGAAATCACGGTCACCATCAGAGCTCTGCTTCATCGAGCCCCTCATCAGTGGACAGCAAGCCAAATAAGTTAAACGTAATTTCCTAAAGATTATATGGGCAAACTAACTTGTTAATTAAGGGGGAAAAAAACAATACCATTGTAATAATCTGAAAAACCTTTTTCTATGATAAAGATCCCTATGTCCAATGTAAAGGTTCTTCATGGAACCATAGATGCCAAGAAAGAACCTTTATTCTTAAGAGTGTATGGTGTTGAAATTAAATGTTCCATAAGCACATATAGGTGTGATGTTTAAGTGCCCACATACTTTTGGCCATGTGCAATATGATCCAGAAATATAAAGTGAACTGTACCTGAAGTGGAGAGAGAACAAAATGTAGCTTAATCATAAAACAAGACATTTTCCTTTCTCTTCAACTCAGAAATAACTTTAATTAGAAAGAATTCAATTGAACGGTTCAAAATGAGACCAAATATTAGAGGACGAAAACCACAGTGACGAGGTGATTGATTACCTGTAAGTCTGCCTGAAACAGAAATGAAAGTTTTTTTAATGATAGGCTGCTTCTTTCTGGGTGTAAAATTCAAATGCTCCCTCCAGACTGTCTGAGAGCCATCACACGTCCTGCGAGGCTGAACGGCTCCAGAACAGGCACTCTGTCTCTGTCACAGAACAGTGGGACATCCACACCTGACGGACTGATCCCATCTCACCTCGCTCAGGTTTCTGCATCATAGATCAGAGAATTACACTACTGCTCATGATGTTCTAGAACTCTCACATCCAGAGCTTAGAACTAGTCGAGCTACTGGTTCTGATGAACTGTCTTTAACTGAAAAATGTGTGTTTACTATTGTCATTTTGCATTATTGACACTATTTTCCTAATTAATGCTGTTCAGTTGCTTTGACACAATCTGTATTGTTAAAAGCGCTATATAAATAAAGGTGACTTGACTTGACTTGACTTGACTTGGTTCGTAAATGTGGGAGCAGCAGTGGTTTTATGTGAAATTATGTCTGTGGGTGTAAGAAAGGATGTTTTTCAGATGTTTTAAGAAATTTGAGACGGGACAGTAATACCTCTAATTCTGGACAAATTATCGAAAAATGACATTAAAACACTTTAGAGTAAGGTCTCATTTGTTAACATTAGTTAATGCTCAACTCAAAACGTCAACTAAAACACAATGTAAAGCATAATTCAAAACTGGGGTAAGAAAAAAAAAACAATAAAGAAAATTCCTTCATAATAATTCTGGAATTATTTAATTCTGGCCAACCAGGTATTCAGTGCATATGCAGACAATTTTACGGTGCGTATGCATGTTGAATTCAATGGAAAGACAATATTTGCCATGGCTAATATACACACGTTCTCCCATAGAGAGTCACAGGCGGCTGGAGACAGCAGCATGCGCCAGTGCATTTAGATTTATAAACCCTGTGTGACACTGACAAATGAAACAGTGTAGAAGGGAAAACACTTAATGCA